TATTGCAACCATATTGTATTTGAGTGAATTTCACATAATCAAAGCATATAGTTTTCAATGATTTATGAACTGTTGTTTTCCACAGCATACAGTAACAATGTTCATTTATTTACACCATGAGAAAAGTATCCAATTTTTAAGAATTTTTTCATTTTTGTGAGTTCAATACATGTTATGAAGTTACTGAGTTTTATGATAATCAACTCACAAGATAAATGTATTTTGGATGGATTTCATAATGGTGAACACTGAACAATGACCAATTCTAGTAATGATCATAATTCTGCAGTTTTTCCAGTGACTCATCTACAAATTTCATTTTGTTCAATACAATATATGATGTAATAAGATAATGTAATGTGACTTAATTCCTATATGTATGGTCATAAGTTGATAATACTTTGATATTGTTGCATATGCAATTATTTTTTTTTAATATCTTGATTTTGAATATGTCAATCTTACTTTCTGATGTTTCTTTGAATGCAATAATGGAAATTGTGGTATTATGCTGTTCAGCAAATTTGGACTATATATATATTTGGTCAAATGTACATGTTTTAAGAAATATTCATTAAATGAATCAATTACAATGTGCTTGAATATAAGTCTTCAGATTTATGTACTGCAAGAGTAGATAAAGGATACTAAGTACTTGAGAAATCTTAGTTAATGTTCATCACAATTTTGTCCAAATTGTTTGCATATAATTTTTGTCCTTGTATATTTTCAGACACCAAAAGTAGTTCAGTTATGAAAATATTGCTTAGTATCACAGAAGCTCTGAGACTATATTGTATTAATTCAAATGATAGTGAATTATCTTCCTTGTTTCTAAGTGAGCTTGCTAGTATTTGCTAATATATGTCAATGCTTTTGCCATATTTTCTCTTACAATTCATGTTATCTCCATACCCATCGAAAATTTGGTTGCAAAATTTTGTTTTGTGGGGGGATATTATGTATGTCATTCTATGAAATACATAAGGAAGGGGAGGTAACTGTAATTCTACTTTCACTTTCACTTTTGTTTGTAACTCTCCTAAATAGGAGGCGGAATTGAAGAGAGTTGAATAAAATAATAAAAATGGAAGACGTGCTTTGTTCTTCTGAAGCTTTCCAGATCGGTACTCTATGATCCTGGAACAATAGTGTGTCGCTATATTCCTTTTTTTATGTTGTACTAAATATTTGTATTTATATAATATAAGTAGGTATCCATGTACATTGTGGAACAATTAAACTCTCTTTTGAGATAATTACAACTGTGATATTATCTGTAATGTATATTACGTGTGATATTTAATGTATTGTAAGGGATCGTATTTATGTGTTTTATGTATGTTATGTTGTAGGGTCTATTAGGGTTTAACCTAATAAACATCTGGAACCGGACCTGGTGTTCGCCCTCATTATTTTTTATAAAACAACCAAAATTACAAATGTAATAGTGTCTAATAATGACGAACTGCTGAGTTTTTCTTGTATCATTTATTGTGTTATATATGTTACTTCCAGATTTGCCGGCTGAAATGAGAATGCTGTTACCGTCTCATCTATTTTATTTCCGGAACATTCTAACATACATACAATAAATTGTACAGGCTTGTTACATTATAAACTTGCTTAGAACAGTAAAGCAAATAAACTGACTGAATATATCTGTCTAGGGAAATACATTGAAAGAAATGACAAAATGTCACTAAGTGTGACAAGAGGTCGTGTCGAATTGAATCAGAGCCCGAATTGAATCATAACACACAAAACTGGTCTCGTTCAAATGGCCGCCTGTTTTAATAATAATGCCCGGATGTTTCACAAGAACGATAACTCCACACATAAGACAATCAGAGTTATTTCCCATTACTCTACATCTAAACACTACATCTTCTCCCCTCTTAAGACTGTCACTATTACAATGAATATTATTGCCTTTCAAAAATCTTCAAAGTTCTATTTGATATGATCAGACAACTTGTATCAATTTAAATTTAAACTCAAAATTTCCAAATTAACACAGTTCATGGAGAATACTAAATTTTCACTGTATTCAAGTCCATGTAACACACTAACTGTTAAAATTTAAAACTCAGTTCCTGTAAAACATTCCTTACTTAGGACTTGAAAATTAAACTACACTTGAATCACAATGTCACTGTAATCCAACTATGCAAAACTTCACTTTCACACAAAGTTATGTCATTTCAAAATCATCAAACCGCTTAGGCTTAGTTTTCTCGCGCACTGGTCTTGATCGCGGGATCTCCACCTGATGTGACAAGTTTGATTCCATTCCATCATTAGTAGACCTATGCATGACATCGTCATCGGCTTTGTCCTGCTTCGATACATTGTTGTCAGACATGGTCAAACTTTCACTTTCAGAAGTAGCAGTTGTAGATTTGCTCTCTACCAGAGACTCTGGACTCTGAACGTACTTTTTTACATGTGTACTGTTACGCTTATACTCAACTCCCTCAGGAGAAACAAGAGTACACTGATTTCCAACTTTCCTTTGGAGTTTAAACGGAGTTGGGTTGAATGGAGAACTTAGCTTATTGTTCCTCGACTGTTTAACTAACACCTGATCTCCTTCAACTAGATCTGATTCTTTTGCACCACGTTTTTCATCAATGTAAAGTTTGTTTTTGACTTTTGCAAACCAGTCTCTATCACGAACTCCTTCTTCGATGGTTTCATTCCGATGAACATCAAGTTGAGGTACTTTATTCCTCAATTTACGCCCAAACATTAACTCTGCTGGAGAAACACCTGTTACAGCATGGGGCGTGCCCCTGTATGCCAAAAGATAAGTTCTCAAATCTTTCTTCCAGTCACGTGATTCAGCATGAGCAATACGTATTCGTTTCATGATAGATCTGTTCTGTCGTTCCACCTCTCCATTTGCTGCTGGGTGGAGCGGAGTAACACGTCTGTGATGAATTCCATTATCACATAGAAATTCCTCGAACAAGGCCGACACAAACTGAGGACCGTTATCTGATGTAATCGATACCGGAAGTCCATAACGTGCAAACATGTTCTCAAGTGCATCAATCATCCTTTCACTAGATATATCCTTTGTAATGTCCACTTCATAATATCTGCTGTAATAGTCTATTACAACAAACACGTAGTGTCCTGACGGTAAAGGTCCTAGCAGGTCTATCGAGAGATCCTGCCATGGTCCTGATGGCATAGGGGTCGGCGATATGGGCTCGGGCCGTGGCAATGAACTTACCACTTGACAGCCATGACATGACTTGACATAAGCCTCTACGTCCTTATCTAAAGTTGGCCACCACACTTTAGTTCGTAGCTGTTGCTTTGTAGCGACAATACCAAGGTGTCCCTGGTGAGCTAATTTAATACATTCTGTTCGTAACACTGCTGGAATAACCAATCGTGTTCCACGTAACAGCAGGTACCCTATCTGGGACAGTTCATCTTTTACCGCATAATACTTTACACATTCCTTTTCCCACTGGTCTGCAGATAAAGCCTTTCTCACCAGTGTTAGCTCGGGATCAGACTTGGATTTTTCCTCCACCTCACGAGTTGTCATTGCTTTTGGGGTGCTTCTCTCTGCCACAGCTCTGACATAATGCTCTGTTTCTGTTTGTAGATCTGTTACACCACTGTGTTTCCTTTTCACAAGTCGCGACAATGCGTCAGCAATGTTCTGTTTACCAGGTTGATACCTAATACGAAAATTGTAGGGCATCAGTCTCATAACCCACCGTTCAATACGCGCGTTAGGTTTGGATTTTGGACCATACAGTATTTCCAATGGTTTGTGGTCTGTCACCAGCTCAAAATCAATGCCATACAGGTATATGTGGAACTTTCCACATGCCCAAACCACTGCTAAGGCCTCCTTTTCTGTGGTTGAGTACCTTCTTTCAACATCAGTCAGTGTACGACTAGCATAGCTGATAACTTTGGTCTCGCCTTCAGATTCCTGAACGAGTACAGCCCCTAAACCTACATCACTCGCGTCAGTCACAAGTTGTGTTTTTGTTGCGTCTAATCGGAAATGTCCCAATGTATCTGCGTTCACAAGGCTTTCCTTTAATGCTCGAAAACAATCCTCCTGTTCCTGTCCCCACAAAAACTTTACACTGGACTTGGTAAGTCGTCTCAAGGGTTCAGACAATGTAGCCAAGTTTGGAATATAGCGAGCACTAAAGTTGACAATGCCTAAAAAGCTTCTCACCTCAGATGCACTTTGTGGCCTCTGAGCCTCAATAATGGCCTTTGAACGATCGGATGTCGGCGCGATTCCATTTTTTGACAATACATGACCCATAAATGTGATCTTGTCCATTCCCCACTCGCATTTCTCCTTGTTCAGAGTTAAGTTCTTTTCCTGCAGTCTACACAATGCTTTCTCTAGCCTTTGATCATGTTCATGTTTATCCCTGCCATGAACCACAATATCATCGGATATATTCTGAACCCCTTCACAATCATGAAATGTCTGTGATATGATTTGTTGATACTTCTCTGGTGCTGAACTGATACCAAACATCAGCCGCTTATACCTGTATAATCCTTGATGCGTCACAAATGTAGTTATCTCCCTTGATGAATCTTCTAATTCTATCTGGTGATATCCATACTTCATATCTAATTTGCTGAACACTGTACTCCCATTCATATTGTACAGTATCTCGTCCACAGTGGGTATTGGGTGTCTCTCACGGACTATAGCTTGATTAGCCTGTCTCATATCCACACATATCCTGATATCGCCATTAGGTTTTGGGACAACTATTACCGGGCTAACCCACGGGGTTGGGTCATTCACCTTCTCGATAATGTCCTGATCCTCAAGTTCATCAAGTTTAGCACCGACTTTCTCTCGTAGACTGTAAGGAATCCTATACATAGGTTGTGCCACCGGTTTTACAGATGGATCAATATGAAGCTTCAATTTGAAGTCATTCAGCTTCCCAATTCCTCCAAAACATGACTTGTACTTATCCAATATATCATCATGGACTGAGTAGACTCCAATTTTCAGCACTCCGAGATCTACTGCCGTAGCCCTCCCTAATAAAGCCGAACCTGTGCCATCAAGTACATAAAAGGCAGCCTCAATTTCATCATCACTTCCGTCAACAGACACCGTAGTAATAAATTTGCCAAGTAACGATAAAGGTTTATCTGCTCCATATGAATACAGCCGTTTGTCAGTTTTCTCTGAACGACACACAATCTTTCTTTTCTTTAAGTCCTCCCATGTAGGCTTGTCAATGATATTGACTGTCGCTCCACTATCCACAACCATATCAACTTTGTGACCACCAACCATGAACGAAAGTCTGTCTGCATCTGTGTGTTGTACACTAAATGCATACTCTGCCTCTGACTCTACACAGTTCACTTTACCTTTGACCTTTGACAATGTTGACCTCTCTGCCTTTAGGCAACGTGGTTCCTTTGTTTTACAGCATGCACGAAAATGCCCCATCTTACCACACTTATTGCACTTTTTGTTTTTCGCTGGACAGCCTGAATCTTTCGCGAAATGACCTTCACGTCCACATCGAAAACATAAAGCCTTTGTGCTACTACTTGTTGACCGTTTTGTGTCCTTTTGTTTCACAAAGTTTATCTGATTGACTGAGCTTAGAGGAGACTCCATTTTCTTAGCCTGGACATCTGCCATTTCCATTGTAGCCGCGATTGTGCGTAATTGATCAAGTGTCAATTCCTTCCCCTTTTCCAGACATTTGGTTCTAAGTTTATGAGATTTACATTTTTCTATTATTTGATCCCTTATTTGTTCCTCAATGTTCCCAAATTCACAAAGAACTGCTTGTCTTCTGAGTCTGGTGATGAATTGTTCGATAGACTCGTCTTCCTGACACATTGACCGAAATACATACCGTTCGTATGGCACGTTTATTTTTGTTTCAAAATGTTTACTCAGTGTGGCTACCGCTACAGCATACTCATCACCTCCCTCCGCCTCTGTTAGCGTGAAATAGATGTCTTGAACTGGTACACCTGCACAGTGTAGTAATAACGCTTTCAACTGTTTCTTGTCTGTTACACCCTTGCCAGTGGCAAATAAATCGAAACTACGAAGCCATCGCTTCCATTCCTGCTGTAAATGACCTGGGTCACCATGTGCGTTGAACGGCTCAATACCATTCAGGTCGATCGAAGACATTTTCACAAATGACAGTTCGTATTTCTTACATACACCAGTTCTTGATACATTTACTAACGTATTCGCAATATCCTCGTCGCCAGATTGTCGTGTCGAATTGAATCAGAGCCCGAATTGAATCATAACACACAAAACTGGTCTCGTTCAAATGGCCGCCTGTTTTAATAATAATGCCCGGATGTTTCACAAGAACGATAACTCCACACATAAGACAATCAGAGTTATTTCCCATTACTCTACATCTAAACACCAGTAATGTGCACTATCACGTTAAAGAAAAAATAATAACCCTTGAATATACAGCAATGACAAGAAAAAAATGAAAATACTTGATATTTCATTTAAGAAATATTATATAGCGAAAATTGAGTCGCTGATCAGAGAATGCTTCTTCATTGTCCTTTCGAATTTGTCTGCGTTTTTCCGGCTTAGTTGTATCATTGTAAACGGTCTTTGCAACTGCTTGACAAAACAACAGGAAAAATGGTAAGCAAGGATGATCCTAAAACTGGAATCATTTAGTAGATGATGTGAATTTTACACAAGGACCGTTGTGAAAATATAAACAAAATGTCTACTTTAAGGCATAAGACTTTATTTGTTCACACTTCTGCATGACAAAAATATCGGACATTGAATTATATATATATATCTTACTCTCATAACATGAATGTAAAGTATGTTCCTAAAATATATAAAACTCTCTTGCAACTCTTATACATCTTTCTATGATACGTTGACATTGAAAATTGATCATGAAACAAGCAAATGATATTTAGAAAGATACATACATAACAAAAAATGTCTTTGTGAAATATGATTTACTCATTTAAAATGTATGCGTCCGGTGAGGAAAGCACTGTACAGTGTTCATACACGCATTTAAGCATATACCTGTTTAAATGGCGATACCTTGGGACATACCCTAAAACCATTCTCCTTGGAGAAATCCCGTTTTAATTTGTCCTTTTTTGGTAAAAGACAACACATAACGGGCAATATTGCGACAATCCCTGATCATCCATTTTATTTTTAAACATTTTTTCTATTGTTTTCAGATGAGAGAAAACGAGCACGTTAGCTTCATTATAACAAGTAGCTCTCATTAAAGTACGATGACCTTGATTTATGCATGTATCAAAGATAATGTTCATCGATAAGACATTGCCTCTATGAAAAATACATATCTATATAACTCTACATGTATGAGTGTCGGGTAATCGAAAATACAGTTGTTTCTCTATCAGTCATTCTTGTTTACACGCTCCAGAATGTACATTACTTTAAGCACCTTTCCATCTTACAATCCATTCTTTTTACAAAGAAATAAAAAGTCATCTGAAACGGTAAATAGGACAACTTACTTTTACTTAGGTAAGGTTGTAAGTAACGACGGATACCGTTACACAAACACAGTAAGACACCATTTATGTTTACACAGAATAAAATTTCCACGGACAAAAATACTTCACCATTGCAGTAGACACAGATAGTAACTTTGAACTGTTATCAGGTAAATCACTAAAGCATACACTAACATAAGTACAGCAACGTTTGTATTTACACATGTCAATAGGTACGCAGAGAAATCACAGTCCATTTCCATGTCTACGTAAGCAATAACCATACTTAAAACAAAAGAAACCTTGTCACACAATGTTCATTGTTAGTAGTAGCGTTAAGGATATTGGCATGACCCAATAATCTGTTTATTCTTTTGAATGTCCTCACAAACAGAAAATCGATTTCATAAAACTAAATATAGAGAGCATACAGAAAATAATATTTGTTGATATAAAAGGTTGGGTTGGTTGGTTTGCTTTTGACAACGAATCCATATTAAATTTTCATGAATATAATTATTGAAATATTGAACACATATTGGTTACAGAACACCGTAAACCGATAAGGTTGATAGTGAAGAAACACACAAAAAACCGGAACATGTTGATATGGTGATATTCACAAAGTACAACTGATAAAATGATGTTGTGAGATTCATAAAATACCACCTATGTCAATGTAACTATGAAAATTACAAAAATAAATTTCAAAACAGCTGGATAGTATTTAATGATATGCTGAGTATTATAATTGTATTTTACCAATGTTGTTTTTACACATCATTATTTAGGATTAATATGCTAGCTAATGAAATTGTTTCTACATTTGAAAGGAGACAGTGAGAGAGGGAGAAAAATAAACTTGATAAGAATTTGCGTAAGATTTGTTTGTGAAGCATCAGTTTGTTGCTTTTACTAAATCAAACAACTAAAATGGAAATAAGCTAAATAACAAGCAACGTAATGTTAATACAAACATACTTAAACATCTAAAGATGTAACTAACATCATAGAGCATCATATGCAACATATACGCGTCGGATTTTGTATCCATGTTTGTATTAAATGAAACTTTTCTTATATTAAATGTTCTTAACGTATTTATACGATGATTGGAGTTCAACTACGAGCGAACTTCATCCAGGATTCCAAAGCCACCTTCCAGAAACTTCATCACATTTATTCGACTATATATATCTATATACTGTACACATCACTGTAGAAATATTTATTTGAGATTCAATACTCTTCCGTGTTGGCCTAAAACTGTTCGAAAAACCCTCTCAGCCAGATGAGTGCGTGACACAGGATATGTAATTATATCCCGTATTCTTGTAGTCCATTCTGTGGCTCCATTCTAGATAACTTTACCTGAATAAATGAAATGTTAAATTATGACCAGTTCACATAAAGGAATATTGTATTTTCGTTGAAAATATTCACATTAAAAAGTAAAAAGCACAATGAAAATTCCACATCTGCAAGAGGATAATTTTAAACGTCTACAGATTCAACAATGTAGAATGGTTTAGTATTTTTTTGAAACAGCAAGGTTTCCGTTTGTTCCATTCAAATTCGTGTTATCTCAAAGAAAAAGATAGAATTAGAATTATCCATATTAAAACGTAAAAATAAAATGTAAATGCTGTTTTTTATGTGATCGATAAAGTAGTAAGTGCTGCTTTATAATCCAAACGTTTACAATATCACATTTAATAGAAGTACTGGGTGTATTATATTAGATTCTAACATCAAATTACCTGTACATCATACGTGCGTAATGTAAAATGGAAAAGGACTAGTTATGTGATAACGAATATTACACATGTAGAAAAACATTGCTTTGATCTGATGTTCCAGATCTGTTAGTTACACATCATACTACATTCAGCATGCATACACATTTTCATGTTTTCTTCTGATGCATATTTTCAGTAAATATTTTCTCAATTTTGATATTGAAATAAGTTAACTGATCACTCTCCATGAAGACTTTCATATAAATGTACAAACTATTATTCGTTCTCTTTAACTTCATATTAGTTGTTCCATATTTATTAGGTAAAAATCACGAAGTGTGAAACAGGTCGCGGGTAAGTGATTTACTTATCATATCACTTGTTTTAAAATGGCTTCGTCATGTCCTTCTCTAGTGTACAGTGATACCTGATGTATGGTCAGGTGTCTATTGTTTTATGATATGGCATTGTAGTTTGTTCGGAGTGGAGTGGAAAATACCATCGCTGGATTCATAAGGAAGGGATGGAGTGGGTTATACCATCACTGGATTACCCAGAAAGGGATGGAGTGGGTTATACCATCACTGGATTACCCAGAAAGGGATGGAGTGGGTTATACCATCACTGAATTACCCAGGAAGGGATGGAGTGGGTTATACCATCACTGGATTACCCAGAAAGGGATGGAGTGGGTTATACCATCACTGGATTATCCAGGAAGGGATGGAGTGGGTTATACCACCACTGGATTACTAATGAAGGGATAGAGTGGGATATACCATCACTGGATTGCCCAGGAAAGGATGGAATGGGATATACCATTACTGGATTACTAAGGAAGGGATGGAGTTGGTTATACCATCGCTAGATTCCTCAGGAATGTATAGAATGAGTAAGAATATCGCCAGATAATTGAAGGAAGGGGAGGGAATGGTGTTAGAATATATGTAAACCTTTTCATTGAAACGTTTTCATTCATGGATTTTATCATAAGACCATGCGTCAAATTGGCAATTCCATATATTTACTTATTGAGAGATCTGGTAGACGTTAACATATGGACAGTATACGTGGTCGTGTTTCTACGACAGACATTTACGATATTCAATCGCATTGCTACTATACATACATATAAATACATGCAAAACACGTGATGATATGTGTTACTAATGACTACGGTGATCTACCAAATGGTCACAGGTAATGTCAGTGCAATAATGTTAACTACTGTGAACAGAGAGAAAAGTGTCTTACACTCGCAGATGGATCTATATTTACACAAGCGATGAACAATATGATAAAATGATAACTTTAAGTTAAGTCTAAACACACAAAAATAATATTTATTCAAAAACCTTAAACACATGAAAGGGTTGACTAAGTAGCGTAATCGATCACCTATTTTTGTATTTTTTTTAAATTCTACTCAATTTGTTAATTTTGTTGGATTTCATCGGCCAATAGAATTGACCAGATGGATATGTGTACCAATCCTTCCAATATTTCCAAATTACGAAAATGTCGTATTCAAATATTTTTATATTCGGAAACATTCGAAAGAGCTCATTAGAAGCATGATCCGATTTTTAACGAACATGTTTCATTTATTGGTATGAAAAGGTTTAAGAGTGATTCGTTCTTATCTCAAGAGATGACTTTAAGTTGATTTCAAGACAATGTTAACATGAAAAGCATTCACAATAAAAAGAACAGTAGAATAGCATTAAGATACAATATTAAAGGAAGCATCAACATATTTACAAATCTGGCCTCGGCAATCAAAAGGACATTTTCAATAAATTTAGATAGCGACTGATTAAAAAAGCAAACATTAAAATGATTCTAAATAATAATTACCTTTCCACTTGAAATGCCGTCAATGAGATTTACTATTTCATCACATTTCTTTTCAGAAGCTCTCTCTTTCAGTGACGTCATAGAGTGACCACATTCCATCATAGCGCACATCGGATCGTTAGGATCGCAGGCAGTGTACTGAAATGAAAAACAATCGTTAAAGTATATATATATGTGTGTGTAACGAGTTTACAAATATCCATTTAATATCCATACTTTCATAAAATGTCCAGTAATGTTCATAAAAATGTATTTATCTTAATGTGGAAGAGATTAATTGATTTCCTATTCGACAGTCAATCTTATATCATATGTGAGTTATTTCCCTTGGTATTGCGTACTTTGAGCTTTGCTCTTTTCCTTCCCCATTTTTTCGTATATCAAATATTTTTAAAAAAAATACAAATACAAATAAACTAGTTGATATGGACACTCTGTGTTTATTTCGTGAAAATATTTCACCATTATATTTCATAGTATGTTACATTAGAATAAAACAAAAATCACATTTGCCACATACCTGTTTATAGATGTCTGTCTTGAAGCCAGCCTGGATAAGAAACTTGGCGATTTCTGTTTGGTTTTGGTCAATGCATTCAAACAGAGACTTGCTGAATTGTGACATATCTCCGAATGCACGGAGACCAGACACGAGACTTTTGACTGTCTCCAAATCGCCATTCTGATGATCAAAAACGTAATATCAATAAAAGGTACACGTGACACATTTCGAAATAGGGTATATAATGTTTTCTTTTTAAATTATTATTTTGGGGAAAGTGCATATAATTATTTTAGATTCATTGAAAGAAACTGTTTAAAAAAACTACTAAAATGCAAACAGTACCAAATTGGAAATCCAAATAAAACACATTATCAGCCTTAATCTCCTATTTCCTCTCAGCTAAATTAAAACATCAATTATGTAGGAATTGCCATACTATAAATAATGTGAAATTGATTTTTTGATAACGTTGTTGTGATGGAATCGCAGTAACGAAACCTGATAAGATTTATCACCGTGAACACAATTACAAACATATATTGCAGGGTAATATTGAAGTATACGTGCCTGGATAGCAGAGGAAAATGACGATATGAAGTCTTTTTCTGACAGGTAGATATTGAAGTCAAGATCTGTAACATCCTTCTGTATCTGACCTAGTTTTTGACTACCACACTTGGCACCTGTCATATCGGCTGGCCGCATCCCGAACTACAAATGACCAAAACAACAAACAAAATCTTATACCAATCTTTAAAGCATACTTGGTGGCATTTGTATTATGGTTTTAACTGTAAAAACAAAAAATCTAAATCAAATATTGCAAACATAACAATTCTGATTATAAAAAAATTATCTTTCGCGTTGACTTCATATATGGGGTCAGTATATGCCAAAATCAAACTTGCAGAATTAGGAAGGCACTAGATATATTCTCTAGGCGTGTTCTTCAATTCCAAAGCAATTCAATTTTACATTTTATTTTTAATTGTTGAATTATTGAATAAATATTACATAAATGATCTTACAGCATCACAGAAATTGACGTTGGCACCATTGTTGACCATCACTGTGACGATGTCTTCGTCTGCAAACAAGTAGGCGTAGTGGAGAGGTGTGCGGTCCATCTGTTAACAGATAAATACACATCTCTAAAAAACTGAATTAGATATTGTGACATATGATGGTGCTATAACCTCACACATCTATGCGTTTGTAATATCATTTGTTCTGTTTTTATTTGGTTAATTTTATAGCTCTCCTTTCATTGTTCCAAGGAAGTACTCTAAACACACTTCATTTTGATAGCATTTACAAATAGCAATATATTACTGTTTAAGTAGGAATTATAAAAAGTATCAAAATGTTGAAATATTAATATTCAAAAGGTGCCTTACCTATCAACTTTCCGTTCCGAATAATAAGTCCAGAAACATGTAATATGCTTAGGTATCTAACTGGCCTTATAAAACTTATTATCTTTTATATCACATTTAGGCAATGATTTTAAAAATTCTTTATGATTATATAGTTTCATAATTTTCTCTTACCGTGTCACCAATATTGAGATTTTGAGGGTATTCCTCAATGAGGAACCTGGCCATAGCTGTCCTCTTCTTCATAACTGCCTTATGCAGTAGCGTCCGACCACACTTATCACGGACATTGTGGTACTTTTTACATGAGAGCAATCTCTTCAGGTCGTCTATTTTGTCATCTGTGACTGCCTGGAATACTCGTCTAACGTAAGCCTAAAACAGACGGTGTCCATGCAAATCAAGAATAAGTATCTCTTATCATGTTGATAAGCTACCTGAATAAGGTGACAAAAATTAACGGAATGAGGTGACAAAAAACACTGTTATACAGTAATCGGTACACATCCGATATTGTTTTTCTATAGAACGGGTGATGTTTTGGCACCATGTTTGTATTATATTTTTTCTGATTGTTCGAATGCATCGCGTGTGGGAGCATACGAAAACTAACCGAAAGTTATCTTAGCAATGTATTATCTTTATCGGTTCTATGTAAGTTTGATCTGTTCCATTCCTTACTCTTATTTCCTCTTATTTAAGCACAAAAACTGCCATACGAAATTTGAGAATGATTCTTCAAGTACTCTCTAAGATAAAACGATGATAAAACTTGATATAGCCAAAATGTAAGATGGTCAAATGTCGCACTAAAATGTAACCTGAATATGAAATAAAATTTAATGTTCAATTTGCAATTTGCAAGAAATAAATATAAACAAATTGTAACTGTCAAATTCAAGATGGCCTTCTGTCGGCAGCAAACGGCCAGCCTACATATATAGTTTGAGAACAATCTATCTTGTACAATAGAAAATAAAAAATCCAATTATTAAAATCCAAAATAATGTCATACGGAAATCTACGCGAATTTGAGAAAGGTTTAGCCTTTACTACTCAAGAAATGGTGATCTAAACATTTTCAGAGTCCACGATAGGCTCTCATCAAGCGGATTGTTTTTGTTTTTTTTCTGGTCTGTTCCAAGTTTAAATGTTTGAAAGATCCATCTAGTACCTCTCAAGACATAGTGACAACAAACATACACAGTCAAAATATATGTTGGCCTTCTATCGACAAGTTATGAGTTTCAAAATTAATCGGGAATTACAGGGGAGTTTTCATATCGATTTTGTTAAAAATTCAACCAGCATCTCTCAGGAAACAGTAGTACGAATAGTGCATGCCAACATACCTCAATATCAATATCAATTTTGCAAGAGATAATTTAATTCACAATTTCGAACAAGAATTTAAAAAATTTTAACAATCCAGTATATCTGACAAAACAATGACTCACCTGAATGGCAGCTGACAATTTGACGACTTCATAGATGTGCCGATTGCCATATTTCTTGGCGATATCTACCATTGTTCGTTTTGAGCTATCTGTGACATTCAAAAGATGGTCATAACTCTGGAGTATAAGCCTTTCGATATCATCAAATTTTTTGTCTTTGACAAGTTTAATGACAAACTCATCCACACATGTGCAATACTCATGTCGGTTCAATTTCAAGGCTAAATCACGAGCCGTACGACCTTGTCGATCACGTGCTGCAATATCAGCACCATATGTCATTAAAATGCGGAAGGTATTTTCTGGTTTTTGATGTTCAATTACTTTGTGTAGAATCGTCTGTCCATCCCTATCTCTTGCTTGAAGATCAGATCCTCGGAATATCCGCAGCAGGATTCGATCATCTGCTGGAATCGAATTCCCACACACAAGCTGAAACAAAACGTAAATATCTTAATCAATTACCAATAAACAGGCATGCCTACAGATCACTTTGCTATATTCTTCACAATGCAAGTAATTGTGAGATTTTAACTTAAACATTTATTTATATCTCTGACGAAACTACAATATTAGACTCTGTTTCTACTTTAAAATCGTTGCCAGTGCAAGTTTTGTCTTTAGTCTTTATTTGAATAACTTATTTGCTTTTCTCACCTGAAAAAATAGCGGTTTTGGTGCATTCAAGGATTCCGGTTCATTCGAGTAAAGAGCCCTTGTGTTGGGCTTCATGTCCATAAGGACGTCGACAGTGTCATAACTGTTTGTCTCCCATGCAGCCGCCAACAGAGGGCGTGGTACTTCCGGTGAATCTGGATAGTTGTATTGATATGAGTAGTCCGCGGTGTTTGGGTCGACCGACTTCATCAGTTCCGTGCCTGTCCAATACAATTAATCAGTACTGTTATACTGCATGATTTAATACTTTACAATAGACTGAATGGATTATTATGCAAAAGGTCATGTAGCTTTGGAAATATATGTCGACCAATTTAGATTTTAAAAACTCCCAGATTTCAACAATTTAAGTACTAGGCATCAACTGGATTATGCAGTTCATTTCACAATACTGTTTCTTATTTAAACTTAGTATTTGAAGACACAATTCACTTGTGTGTATTTCGTAAAATTCTACAAGAATGCCAACGTTTCAATTCGTGGCATTACACCGATAAATATTCAAAGTTTAGTGGCAGAACTGTTATCTTATAATAATGATAATACATTATTTTCTATACATTTTCTATACAATTAACTGCTAATGTTTACCTATAGCTGCACTATTATGATATTATCAGTTATTTGGTGTGACTAACAACCATTTTTGATAAACAATGGTATTGGATGCAATTAGTTTCTTCATATATTCTCTACACCTTAAAATTATTGACATTTATTTTCATATTGTGAAGTTAATTCTTATGAAATTATATAAGGTGCTAATTAATAGCATCTTGAAATATGCATAGCCACCTTTAACAAATCCAATCATACAGAACTCATACCTTGCTTCATCCATGATTTAACGATGAATCCAAATCCAGCGTTCAAAGCCAATGCCATCTCATTTGCGTTCTCGTAATCCTCAATCATATGCAGTAGGTCAATTTTTCGCACGTCATCCTTAACCAATGACTTCATACTGGTGACTTTACCACCTTTTATACAGGTGAGTCGACACCAATTTTTTAGCAACTTTTCCACCAGCTTTCGGTCTGGCTCCTCTACTGATAAAGCTCGCCAAAGACCTAAAATCCAAAGGAACATATCAAAACGTGATATTATTCTATAAATATTGGATCTGACTGAGATTTCAAGAAAAGGTCAAGTTGCCTACAACAAAGTTAACGAGGGTTACCTGTTCTTGTAAATTTATCAAATGTTCCAGTAAAACACCGCTCGGTCATTCACATCATTTTATTATAAATAAGAAAAAGTCAATTGCAATCCTCTCACGGTAAATCAATATACTAAGAATGGGCGAGATATAAAGATTGTGTTCAGAGTGGATGACTAGAAGTGAGTGTTGGTATTGCAGGGGTGTGTGTAGAACTAAACAGGACAATGACATTAAGCAGTGATTCAGGCGAATAGCCAAACATAAAGGAGTGAAGATGCAGTTTATTTTATTTATAAGTTATCATGATTTTTATTGAAGGGTGTCTTTCACTTGCTACTCGTTTGTAGAATTCTAAACAACACATTTCGAACAAATGACGTCACCAATATAAACTAATACGCCTGTTACAAATTCAAATATATGTGTATTTCGTTATGTTTTTTAAATAAGTTATTTTCAGTCCGACGATTCAGTCTGCACTTTTCATGCAGTAGCCATGATACACAATGGGTTGTTTATGTTTCCGACTAGCAGGGTGGATTGAGGGGCGTGGCCAGCTCAACAGATAAACATCCCATGTCATATTACCAGATAAAATCGAGTAATTTGAACACGACATTTATAGCAAAAAACGACTAATGGATAGCGAACAAATTAGCCAGCGACGTATACTGCCGTTGCCGTCTGGGCCTCTCGTCTGGCCACGACAAAGAAGTCTTTCATCTAAACCGTCTTCCTAATCGACCTTTCAGTAGTCAGAACTCATTTCGATCTTTTTCTTGAATGTTTTTCCTGGTGTTTACTATGCAAATAAATATATTTGATGAAGAAATCGTCAAAATGAGCATGCAGCAACAGGTCATGTGTGGCTGAAATAGATATTGCTTACCACATTCAGAATTTGTAACAATACAGACATCCGAACATATTTCACTATTGACATATATGTTATTTAAGGGTATAAGGGTATGGCAACCTTGGAGAGAAAAGTCATGATTTAATCAAATCAGATAACCAATGCACAGACTTGTGTATATTTCAGGTCCCTTATGTCAATAATGATTATATATTAAACAACAAGGTAGGGAACCAAGAAACATTACTCCTATTCATGAATAAAGGAGAAGGCGGGAGTCAATGTGATATTATATTCAAAAAGGGTGTGGTTAAGAGGAAGATCAACGATAACCGGATCTGGAGGCTACAGTAAAAAACACAAAGAAGGAAATAATATGTAAATGGTTATTTGTCAGATAAAAAACAAAACATTATGGAGTCAGATATACATGAAGGTTTGTTTTTTTCATAATCATACAGGAAATCAGAAACAAAGAGATGTTTAAATGGTCAAGGATTATAGAAGAGTATGAAAGGATTTCAAGGACAAAAGGCCAGGAAAATGAAATTTGTCGATTGAACAGATTTGAAGATGTGAAAGATGAGCATAACAACCACACACAATATGACAGCTAAAATGGAACCAAAATTTCGACAAAAGAAAGTTTTACAAGGGGACTTATTAAAAAATAAATGCAGAATCAGACCAGGACGAATAAGCGTTTTCTATTTCAACACCCGCTTCGTAAATCTATGTTGATCAAAGTAAAAAAAATGCAATGTTCCCAAATGAGAACAAGGTAAACAACGGGTACAACAGGTATACTAACGAACATTAAACATTTCGAACCTCGTACCAATAATGAAATGTGTCTCAAAGGAAGATCCTTATGATGACAATATCACATCGCAATCAGCAAATCAGTAAATAGTATACAGAATATTGATATATGTATATATAGACATGTGGGTATGAGTCACTCCCTCAAGTATGTAGAATCTAAGCAAGTTACTCGAATGATATAGTATGATGTAATATGATGAAAAACATCAATGAGTTTAACTTGACTGAGCAATAACAAAAATTCATTGCGATGCATCCAAACTATTTTTTGATAGAATCAGTACACCTTTCAACGCCATCGCATTCAGTAGTGTTGACTGACTTCATTTCTTTGTCTACTTAAGAAAACTCCGATCCAGTGAACAAGTGAAAAAATACATTTTGATTGCAAGCAGATACATAAAATACACATGATTTAACTTGGAAATAATAAGTGATGTTTTATCATTATATGAAATATTTGTGTAGTATTATTTTGTAAATATTCACTCCATTTTCATAATCTGTGTTTGTGATATCTACGATCGTAATATCATCATTCACAACTTCAAATGAAAGAGTAAGAAATATGCCAGATTAAGCAAAAGGGATATAGAAAAAAAACTGCTATTTATCATTTCTTAAATCCAGTGATTTCCATGGTAAGTGAAAAGATTTACCTTCTGACAATGGGACAAAATAAATAAATATTTACGCGATCTTCTTAAAAAGAGTATCTTACCCATTTTTATATGTAGAAACCAACATCTGGTCTATAATTTGTCTATGTCGAAAAATTTTCCAGCTTGTGTTTTACCCTTTTTCTCGGCTAGTTGTTGACATGTGTTTCGCGATAATTTGACATTATGAATTCCATGTATCGCGTTTTTGGGACGATAACACGATGCTTTAACCTACTAACTGTTTTTGTGCTGTGTATAACGATTTTTTACCTACAATTCTGGTTTGAATTATACCTGAATAGGCCGATGATTTGAACAATTATCACAGTATATGTATTTGACATATACAGGGTTATGATTTGACCTACTGACCTGGTTTGTATTTGTTGTACCAATGCTGCATCTCCTGCCAGCCTTCCGGTTTTTCCGTGAGAAGCACATCCTCAGCTGTTTTTCCGTCATTGTTTTTGACGGCTGTGTCTATTCCGCACCTACAATAAAGACAGTTAATTAACTTAATGTTACAATAGAATACGGTATTGATTAACCAAATGTCCATAAAGCCATACTCGGTATTGTGTATTGGTTGTAAATAATAAAGAATATAATCAGCAGGGACACCATGCAACAAACATACTGCGATGGATTGTCCCTGATATGAACATACTGCAATGGCTTGTCCCTGAAATAAAAATATTGAAATTGCTTGTCGATGATACAAACATACTGAAATTGCGTGTCCCTGTAACAAACTTGCTGAAATGGCCTGTCCATGTTACAAACATACTGAAATGGCTTGTTCATATTACAAACATACTTAAATGGCTTGACCATGTTACAAACATACTGAAATGGCTTGTCCATGTTACAAAAATAGTGAAATGGCTTCTCCATGTTACAAACATAGTGAAATTGCTTGTCAATGTTACAAACATACTGAAATGGCTTGTCCACATTACAAACATACTGAAATGGCATGTCCATGTTACAAAAATATTGAAATGGCTTCTCCATGTTACAAACATAGTGAAATTGCTTGTCAATGTTACAAACATACTGAAATGGCTTGTCCACATTACAAACATACTGAAATGGCTTGTCCATGTTACAAAAATAGTGAAATGACTTCCTGAAACTTGATGATGTTCATGTTCTACGTGTTCCCTTGTTATACCCATTTAATTTTGAGTATGATCAGGAAAACAACATGGTCGATAGGCGGCCATCTTTAATTTTGACGATGGAAGTTCGTTATTGCTATTTCCGGAGAAACCCAAGGCGCCCTTGTGTTAGATATTTTATCTTCAGAACAATTTTCAATCATTTTAAAAAGGAGCAAGAAAGGGTAAATATGCATCTTATAAGAAAGAAATAAAGAATAAATGTTGGTGAGCGCCAAGATCCCTCGGTTATCTCTTGTATTTGAAAATATTTCAAGTTGATGATATATTCCATTAATTGGAATAGATAAGTTAGATCTTACAACTTAACCACTTTTTTCAGAGTGCATATCAAACACATTTTGAACAAAATTATAGTTGTAAAATTGAATCATAACCGTTGTGTACTTTTTAAACTTTATATTAAGGTATTTTAGACCATATAGGTGTTATGTTTTTGATGATGAGACTGACTCGTTTTGTTGAAAAGGGCAGGGTTATACCTCGCCCATAGTTTTTCATACTGGTTTTTATTCCACACGATCTGGGGTGAACGTCTCGGTCAAGGCCATACATGATCAACTGACCGTGTAATAATCATGTGAAATGCTGCGATTAAGGATATCCTTTTTCATGTATACAAAAACTTCACTATCAATGGACACGTGTGCAAATTGTACCATACGTGTAACTCGATAATACATTTGTAAAATTTAGTTGTGATAATAACCGGGAATATGAACTGCTGAATTATATACTTAAAGATACCAATATTAGGTGCACCCCTTTTATACGACTTTTAACGTTTTAATTCCGTAGTAACATCCCCTGTTACAGTAAACGCTCAACAGATATCATGTAAAATGATTCAAAATAAATATTCTTTCATTCATGATACAATCTTTTCGTAAGAAATCTCAATTTATGTTATATAGAACGTTGAATCATCCATTCACACGAAGTGTCGCGACCGCTGATGGACTTTGGACCCTGTCTTTACCTGTCGAGACGTTGAAATTTATCAAGTTCAGTAAATGTCACGATGTTTAATACTGTTTTATCGGCAGTTACACAGGTACAATACAAATGAGAAATGTTTCTACCTATTTTCTCGTAACTCTGTGATTAGTAGTTCCTGGTTAAGTCTGCTCCAATGGAATTCTCAGATTTTTGATATCGTGTATCTTCTGTGTGGTTTGAAATGATAATATCAAAAGGAAAAAATATTGACTCCCGTCTGTCTGCAAACTATGTTTTGTAGTTCATTCGAATTTTCATCATATCTGTTTCAAATAAAAACCTGTTGCTTTTGAATTTTCAAGGAGAACATTGGACACATTTTTAAACGTTTTTTAGTGTTATTTCTATCACTGCCGGTAATTCTATAAGTGTTAAAATACCAAGATATCATCATCCGGATGCAGCAACATAACGCAGTCACATGGGTCGGTAAGGTTACAAAGAAGGACACTAAGGATAACAAAACAACAATGTATTAGTTGCACTTCATTTAAGTTTTGCGTTTAAATTCCAGCCTCCGCAATGAAATGGACTTAATGGCAATTGAAAACGAAACTTTAAATATTCCGATGATCATGAGCAACTGCCATGTTAAGTTCATGATACAATCAGATTACATAACATCCCTGATTAAATAGTCTCCTTCACATAATATATGGATTTCAAGGAGCGGTTTTACATGTATAGTAGTCATCAAAATAACAGTGGGAATGTTGATTATTACTGAATTTCCAGTTTACTGGTGAAACACTGCAGCAAGGATTTAGCTCCATGTCATGTAGTGGCACAGTTCAAAACATATATATATATATGTTTAGTGAAATATGCCGCCATTATAAGCAAACTATAGTGTGCTTGCCTGTGAAACTGAATTTTAACGTCATCAGATTCGACATCAGGATACCTTAAAAGTTAAATCTATATTTCTTAAAAATCATTAACTACAAAGCTCGTAAAACCCAGAGTGCATTCGATTGAAGGTGGTGCGTGTTTGACTTGTGTACAGGCATTTCTACACGTGACTACATTGTTTATAACGGTTTATATTTTTACTTCCTGAAAACTTTTTTACCTCAGCTTGGTGTTATTGATTACTTATTGTTTACCTTAATATATATCTATGTTAAAGTTTACTTATGTCTGCTACAAAACCTCACTAAACAGTCTATTCCTTTTATTGTCTACCTTTATCAATATCCATGTTAAAGTTTACTTATGTCTGCTACAAAATTATTTCTATAGGTACATACAACTGATTTTATCCCCGGAACAGTCTATTTCTATAGGTGTCTACAGTTGTTTCTATCCCTGGAACAGTCTATTTCTATAGGTGTCTACAGTTGTTTCTGTCCCCGGAACAGTCTATTTCTATAGGTGTCTACAGTTGTTTCTGTCCCCGGAACAGTCTATTTCTATATGTGTCTACAGTTGTTTCTGTCCCCGGAACAGTCTATTTCTATAGGTGTCTACAGTTGTTTCTGTCCCCGGAACAGTCTATTTCTACATGTGTCTACAATTGTTTCTGTCCCCGGAACAGTCTATTTCTACATGTGTCTACAGTTGTTTCTGTCCCTGGAACAATCTATTTCTATAGGTGTCTACAGTTGTTTCTGTCCCCGGAACAGTCTATTTCTATAGGTGTCTACAGTTGTTTCTGTCCCCGGAACAGTCTATTTCTATATGTGTCTACAGTTGTTTCTATCCCCGGAACAGTCTATTTCTATATGTGTCTACAGTTGTTTCTGTCCCCGGAACAGTCTATTTCTACATGTGTCTACAATTGTTTCTGTCCCCGGAACAGTCTATTTCTACATGTGTCTACAGTTGTTTCTGTCCCCGGAACAGTCTATTTCTATAGGTGTCTACAGTTGTTTCTGTCCCCGGAACAGTCTATTTCTATATGTGTCTACAATTGTTTCTGTCCCCGGAACAGTCTATTTCTATAGGTGTCTACAATTGTTTCTGTCCCCGGAACAGTCTATTTCTATAGGTGTCTACAGTTGTTTCTGTCCCCGGAACAGTCTATTTCTATAGGTGTCTACAGTTGTTTCTATCCCCGGAACAGTCTATTTCTATAGGTGTCTACAGTTGTTTCTATCCCCGGAACAGTCTATTTCTATAGGTGCCTACAGTTGTTTCTGTCCCCGGAACAGTCTATTTCTATATGTGTCTACAATTGTTTCTGTCCCCGGAACAGTCTATTTCTATATGTGTCTACAGTTGTTTCTGTCCCCGGAACAGTCTATTTCTATATGTGTCTACAGTTGTTTCTGTCCCCGGAACAGTCTATTTCTATAGGTGTCTACAGTTGTTTCTGTCCCCGGAACTGTCTATTTCTATAGGTGAATACAGTTGTTTCTGTCCCCGGAACAGTCTATTTCTATAGGTGTCTACAGTTGTTTCTGTCACTGGAACAGTCTGTTTCTACATGTGTCTACAGTTGTTTCTGTCCCCGGAACAGTCTATTTCTATAGGTGTCTACAGTTGTTTCTGTCCCCGGAACAGTCTATTTCTACATGTGTCTACAGTTGTTTCTGTCCCTGGAACAGTCTATTTCTATATGTGTCTACACTTGTTTCTATCCCCGGAACAGTCTATTTCTATATGTGTATACAGTTGTTTCTATCCTCGGAACAGTCTTGTTATTCTACATGTATTAAGGTGTATATCGTTCCTTTAACAAATGACTACATGGTTATACCCCGCAATAGTAACTTCTACACACCATCACATATATTATTTCATTCTTCTATTACAATTGCCAAAAGGTGAACCTTAACATCCTCAAACACCTGTATGGTTTATTCTACCACCAGTGAGTTCTTCCCCGAGTTAATGTATGCAGTTGTTTTTTCCTCAGATACAGTACAGTCTCATCTACAAGGCACCAGTGAGTCACAGGCAACATGGCCGACATATTGGCAATTTAAGATGTGTTTTGGCTTGTCCAAGAAGGAAGACATAGCTGCACGATGCGGTTTAATTCATTAGTTTGTTTTATTGTATCTAATTCAGTCTTTCTAATAAAAGGTGATATTCACCTGTGTGTATTTTATACAAGTTTTGAGAAGTGTTTCATAACTTCCGGTTTGTGTTTTGTTACCTATGCACAAATGTCGTTGTTTGTTATCGTTAAATCCCAACAGCCACAACAATCAATGTACCAGCATAGGTAATGATTTAGTCCTACCTTCTAACCCTGGTCACGGCTTACCGAGCACGTGTAAATGAAGGTTTAATTGTGTGTGATGGTAGGTTGCCTGCTGGTACGTATAAAACGAATGTATTCCAGCTTTTCTATGTTACAGGGA